GCTATACCTTTTTATTTTTCTATTTACGTTGTTATAGTCATCACATGTGGACAGGTTCTACACGTGTGTGTAAACGAGTTTTGGTTTCTTGGCTTCACTTACTTTGCATCAGTTCACATAAACCTTCTCATGCTCTTCTGAATTCTTCAGGATCATTATTCCTTTTTTTTCTTTTTTTAAAAATTAATTTATTTTGATTTATCACCAATCACTTCCATAAACTTCTGAATTTTAAATTTTTGTCCCCCTCCCTCCCCACCTCCAGGGTCATTATTTCTTATGACAACAACGTTGTATTCACATTCCTCAATTTAATTGGTTATTACCCAGTTTGTGGGCATCAATTTTGTTTGTTCCTTTTCTGTTAAGTCTTCTGAGCACCTTCCCCGAATCCTTCTTTCCTTTCTCGCTTTGGTGAATTAGTCTGGACAAAGTGCCCCTTCCTCTCTCTTCTTCCCCAGTCATACAAGCCGGCATTCCTTTGTAAACGGCCTTGGATTACTCTGGAGTTGTTTCCGGCCTTTCCCACTGGGCTCTGAGCTCTTGAAGGACTGAGGCTCCCTCTCTCCCTCCCTGGCCCCCCCCCCCCCCCCCCGCTCTCTCTTCTCAGGACCTGGGGCACACTCAGTGTCTCACTCCCAGTTCTTTTTACTCTGGGCTCTGTGTTTCCTGGTTCTCCAGAGCTAAGGGCAGCCCTTGGCCTCGAGCATCCCACGCCCTGGGCTCTCTTCTCTTCCTCCCTGGGCGCTGGGGTCTAAGCACTTTGTTTCTTAGTGCTATCTCCCACTGTTTCCCCAGGCATCTAATTTATTATCTCTTTATTCTTCTCCATGTCAAACCCTTCCCCATCTTCCCTCTCTGCATCTGACCCATTTTTTTCCTCCTGGACATGATTTAGTTGCTCCAGATTTCGTGTGAAGGATTTCCAGATATTCCCCCCTCCCCACCCTCTCCCTGCATGTTCCTCACTTCTGTGCTGTGTTAGTCCCATTTCCCAGTTAGGTAAAAGGAGGCCAAAGGAGACATAAACTAAAATCCATGATCTGCCAGGGAGAATAGGGTCAGAAGGTTGGCACCATGTCCTTGACCAGGCAGGGGAGCCTGGCGGTGCTCTGTGGATGATAACCAAGTGGCAGACGGGAGTTGGCAGGGATTTCCCATTCATCCCAGAAACCTCTCTGGTGCCTGCCACCCTGGGGTTGGTGCCAATGCAGCTCGCCCGCGGGTGAGCCACTCACCATGTCAGCATCTGCTCAGGAAATCGTGCCCAGATCCTCACTGGGGTCATTGATGGCTTTTGGCTTCCAGGCTGATGGGGATGGGGGCTGGGGGAAGAGGGGGGCACCCACCTGTCATTGGCAGGAAGCCCCCGAACTCGCCTGGCTGGGGTCCAGCGAGGGGCAGGGGAGGGAGGGAGTCACAGGATGCCACCCACAGCCGGGCTGGGGCTCTTGGAAGACTCTGGGAACGCCAGTTGGTCCTGGAAAAGAATGCCAACCTTATGTCGTCCTTGGCCAACTGCTGTGGAGGAGGCCCTGGCGCGAGGGGGTTGGTGTGAACCTCAGCGGGTTTCCTCAGCCCTCAGAGGAGCAGCTGCCCCATGCTCGGGGCAGGGGCTCAGGTTACCTGCAGGCCTTCTCTCCACCCGCCCCGGCCGGGTGCCCCCCAAGAGACAGAGACAGGGCAGAAGATGAGAATGGGGGAGGCCTTGCTAGTCAAGAGGCAGCCCACCCTGCAGGAATGAATGGGCAGAGCCCACCTTGGCCAGGAGGACTGAAGCCTATCTGCGTTTGTGGGCTAGGGAGGCAGGGTGGTTCAATGACAGGAACCTGGGACTGGGGGTCAGGAGGGGTCTGGCCTTGTGGCCCATTCTAGCTCTAACCTGTCATCCTAGGACCAAGTTCTGAATTTGAATTTTACCTCTGCTACTTACTATCTTTGACATCTTTCGCAAGCTGCTCTGTGTCCCTGGGACTCAATTTCCTCATCTGTTAAATGAGGGTTAAGATGAGCTGACATTCCCTCCTTCCCCAGATTTCTCATCCTGTCATCCCTGTGACCTCAGTTTGAATCTTGGCTCAGCCACTGCCGTGTGTGATGGTGGGCACCCATTTAACCTTGCTCTTGGGGTCTCATTTTCCTCATCTGTGAAATGGGGAGATGACTCCCAGCCTCCCTCCTAACTCTCAGTCTTCAGCCTGTGATCCTAAGCCTGCAAATAAAAGCAATCAGTCAGTGAATGTGCATTTGATAATCAGTCAGTACCTACCACTGTATGCCAGGTGCTCTGGGGTCACTGGGCAGAAAAGGACAAGGAAAGAATTCTTACCCCTAAGGAGCTCGATTCAGTGAGAGAGATAATGTGTAAATAAATGAGTCTATGCAAAAGAAATGCACTGAGACTTTTGGGACTTCTTGTAAATCAATCAGTCAGCACCTGTTGATGAGGGTGCTGCTGCTGCTGGCATTTTTAGAATTATCTGCTATGCGTCAGGCATCGTGCCAACCCTGGGAGGGAGGTGCTGTTAGTGTCCCCATTTTACAGATGAGGAAACTGAGGCAAACAAGATTAAGTGACTTACACAGGGTCACGCAGCTAGTAAGCGTTTGTTTTGAGACTGGATTTGAACTCGGGTCTAGATGTCCAAAGTCTGTCCCCGTCTCTCCACCCTCTGTGATGCCTCATTTGTGGCCAGACCTCGTGTTGGGAGCATTGGGCAGGAGATGCCAGGAGTAGGTCTCTGTTCCCACTCGGGAGGAGCCCACAGTCTGATGGGGAGGGGATCTGGGCCTTCGTGTGAAACACTGGCCCCAGAGAAGGCATCAGGCCGCCTCGGCCAGTGTGGCATCGAGTGCTAGAAATCCTCAAGGTGGAGAAGGGCAGCCTCTCGGTGCCAGCCCAGCTCGACGGTGTGTTCTCTGCCCTGTATCTCGTGCCAGGCACCTGCCCTCCCTCTCTCGCCTCCCTCCGCCTTCATCCGTTCACACCCTTCCATTTCTCCCCGGCTCAGAAGCCACCCTCCCTGTGTGGACAGGGATCTCCCCAGCCTCTGATTGCTCACAGCGGTCTCCCTGGCTCCCATTCTGGCTGGTGCCGTCCTGTTCACGGTCTGTTCATAGACTGTAAGCTCCTCCAGGGCAGGGCATCATATTGTTTCCTTGTATCCTCTGGTAGCCCTGTATACAAACTGGGATTTGCATTGGGCATGTGATTAAATCACCGCGCATTTATGCAGCACCTGCTGTGAGCCAGCCACTGTGCTAAGCCTTGCTTCTGTGACCTGGCTCAGTATCTGTCTTTGCCATTTACTCCCTCAGTGACTTTGGTCAAGTTCCTTCACCTTGCCACCTGCCCCTCCCACCTGAAGCAGTCGCTCCCAGGAAGTGTGATGTGGGTCTTGTTGGGGGGTCAGGTGTGAGTCATTATGGAGGAGGGAGGAGCACGGGGTGGGGAGGGGGTGTCATCTCCTGCCTCCACGCCTTTGCCCAGGCTGTGCCTCGTCCTGAGAATGCTTCCCTTTCTCATTCCCACTGCTCAGGATCCTTAGCTCTCTACAAGGCTCAGTCCAAGCCTGTCTCCTAGGAGAGGCTTCTCCTGCGTCACCTCCTGTGATTGGTGCTTCCCTCTTCTCTCCCAAATTCTGGCTTCATATTTATTTTGTGTGTTTTATTAGTGGATATAGCTCTGGGCCTGGAGTCAGGAAGATGTGAGATCAAATTCGACCTCGGACGCTCCCTAGTTGTGTGGCCCTGGGCAATAAGTCATTTCACCTCTGTGTGCCTCAGTTTCCTCATCTGTAAAATGGGGGTAATAATAGCACCTACTTCTTGTGAGGATCAAATGAGATAATATTTTGAAAGTTCTTGGCCAGCCCTAAATGCTATTATTTATTGCTTTTAATATTTAATATTATCCTTTATATACATTACATCTCATCTAATATTTAATATTATCATTTATATACATTGTATCTCATTTAATATATAATATTATCATTTATATACACGTGCATGTTTTACCCCCAGAAAGGTCCTTGAGGGTGGGGACTGCTTCATTTTTGTCTGTGTAGGCATAGTGCCTGGCCCCTAGTGGACATTTAGAAATATTTGTTGAACTAAAGAGGATTGATATAAGGCCATGTAGGGGAATAGAAGGAACCTCAGACCCTTTTCTGTATCTGTTGTGACTCTGGGCAGGTCACTCTGCATGAGGCTGCTGGACCTCAGTTGACTAATCTGTAAAATGGGGACATTAGTATTTACATCGACTACTTCACAGGGTGTGTGTGTGTGTGGGGGGGGTGATGGTGAGGAAAGTTCCTGGGTCTTCACCCTGTCAGGGCTCAGCCCCTGCTCTCATGACTCTCTGGGCTCTTCCTGACCACCCCCCCCCCTTAATTCCCTTTGTCTGTCTCCCCCCATTCTGATGGAAGCTCCTGGAGGGCAGAGGCCATCTTTCCCTAGGATCTTCTTATTTGTATTCAGGACTTAGCGCTGTGCCTGGCAGATAGTAAGTGCCTAATGAATGTTTATGGATGTGGTGCAACTATTAGACCTTGGAGAGATAGAAACGTGAGTGTGTCCTCATCCTTGTTGATAGAGGCAGTAACAGGACCACATGACGTCCTCCCTCCTGCTCCGTGGATGGGACTCGTGGGCGGGTAGGGCAGGGCAGAGGTTTGAGAGGGGCGCCCTAGTCCGCAGGACAGCCTGGCCACCCTTCTCAGTGATGGCTTCTTGGGAGCTCAAGACCACAGGCACTGATATCTGGATTCAGTGCAGAGGAGTGGGAGCTGTGCTGGCCTAATGCCCTGGGTTCAAATCCTGCCTGGGTGACCTTGGGAAATCCCTTCACCTCTCTAGGCCTCACTTTTCCTCCACTGTGAAGCGGAGGAGTTGGTCTTGGTGGGTTCTGAGGGTCCTTTAGGCACTAGATCTGGTGGGCAGAAGCTGGAATGGCTGCCGGGGTGACCTTTCTGTTTCTGTTTTCTCCCTGGCAGGACCGAGGTCTCACTGGCAAGCTGGAACCCGTGTCGCCGGTGAGCCCCACCCATCCTGAATCAGAATTGGATCTCTTACCGCCCCGGCTGTCCAAGGAAGAGCTGATCCAGAACATGGATCGCGTGGACCGGGAGATCACCATGGTGGAGCAGCAGATCTCCAAGCTGAAGAAGAAGCAGGTAATGGGGCTCCCGGGGACTCCCTTCCAGCAGTGACGCTCTGGAGTGCTTAACACGAGCTAGGAGATTTGGGTTCTAGACCAGCCCTGCCCATGCATTTGCTGTGAGAGTCTGGGCAAGGTGGTTCCCCTCCCTGGGCCTCAGTTTCTTTTTGATAAAATGAAGGGGTGGGTCTGGATATTCAGAGTTCTGAGTCCTAAGCCCTTCTCAGCTCTGAGATCCCCTGTTCTCAGGCCCCTCCCAGCTCTGACATTGTGTTGCTGTGTTCCTTGTCCCATGTCCAGCAGCACAGGGACAGCCATGAGACGTAGAAATGGGGCAGGAAGCAGGAACAAGAAGATGAGGTCTGCACGCTCAAAGAGCTCATAACAAGCCAGTTTTCCTGTTCTTGAAACAGTGAGGGAGCAGTAGGAGCCCTGAATGCTGAGCCTGGTCAGCATCAGGCTGGCAGGCCGTGGCAGAAGAGATGGGCCAAGGGGTTGATGCACACCCGGGACCCGCAGGGCGCAGGGCAGGACAGCGGGGCCTGGGCTCCGGCTCCTCGGCTCCATCTCTGGAGGCTGCCCTCTGGGCCTGCAAAACAACTGGTTTGTGTCTGGAGCACGGGGCCCAGAGCGGGCCTGAGCCAGAGCCTTCCTGCCAGGCTCCTCTTTCCCAGAGAGCTTAATGGTTTTCTGCTTTACCATTTAATTAATCCCAGACACCTGCTTTTGGATGCCTTTTTTTTCCACAGAGGTATCAAAGGAGCTTAGGGATGTGGGGCTGGGGGGAAAAGGAAGATTTATGGAACAGCTGTGTCTGCCAGGCCATGTGCGTAATGCCTGCGTGATGGCCCCTGGACAGATGTGACGGTAACATCTGGCCTGATGAGACACCAGAGAAGGGAGGCAGGCAGAGACAGGCCCTCGATGGGCCTCTGAGCCCTCAGGCCTGAGCCCAGGAGTCTCTGGTTCTCCACGTTGGGCCCCTCCTGGGACCTGTGGGGGAAGCAGAATGTGTTTCTGGGTCTGTGAAAGTCCCCAGAGTGAGCCTTCCTCCTTCCCTGCCCCTCCCCACGTCTGGAGGGGGTGCGTCCTGTCCCGGGACGAGCCTGGCGGCCTTTCCCACCCTGCCCTATCTTGCCTGCTCTTTGCACGGCCTGCTTCCTTTGCCATTGTAGATCAGTTCATGTACATAATCATAAATAGCAGGTATTTGGGTGCATTCTCAGCATTTTTAATAAGGGGGCATTTGGTTTAAAAATTAGAGACCATTGATCTAGTCCAACCTTCATGTTTTACGTATGAGGAAACTGAGGCACAGTGGTGTTCCTAGGGTTATAGATGGAGAGCCTGAAGGGACCTCAGAGGCTGGCCCGGGGCACTGGGCTGTTTTCTAGGGGAGGAAGTGGAGTCCCAGAGAGGCAGGGATCCCTAGCCCCACGTGGTAGACCCTCCTTCTGCTCCCACAGCTCCCTCTGTACCTCCAGGCCGTCATGGCGTCGCACCCGTCTGCCTGCCCCTCGTGGACTTAAAGCCTTGTGTTGGACGTCGGCTCTGTCAGTGGGGTCAGGGACAGTCAGGAGGGGCGGTTTCTGTTTTCTCAGCTTTCTCAGGGTCTGGGCTGACCTGGGGGCAAGATGCCACTTCCCAGTGTCTCCTGCTTGGGGGTGGAGTTGGTGAGCTGGACAGCCCCGTGAGGCCAGTAGCCCCTGTCCCTTCTCCTCTCCCCTCTCCTCTTTCTTTTCCCTCTCCCTGTCCCATTCCCTTCTTCTCTGTGGCTCTGTCTAAACCCTTCTTCTGCCTCTTTCTTTGGGTCCCTCTGTTTGTCTCCCTCTCTCTTTTTTCCTTCACCCATCTTCCTCTCTTTTTCTCCTTCTCTGCCTCTCCTCCCCTTCCCTTTCCTCCCATCTGTTTCTCTTAGTTCTTGGCCCATTTCACAGATGAGGTGACTGAGTTTTAGACATGAAGAAGGCACAAGGTGCCTGGGGGGTCAGGGATAGAGAGAGGACGGGATATGCCCATCCTGAGGGCCAGTCCTTCTCTGAGCTCTGCCTCAGTCAGGACAGCTAAAATCGCTCACCCAGAAAGAATGCTTCACCGAGCCATAGGATGCTGGAGCGGGAGAATGTCAGAGCCAGGAAGGAATTTAGAACCTAGAACCTCGGAGCTGGTCGAGAAATTCTCCTTCAAATGCGAAATGTCAGGACTGGGAAGAGAGGTCCTTAGAGCCTAGGAGTGTTCTAGGGCTGAGCTGTGCCAGAGCAGGGCTGGTTCTTAGAATAGGAATGTGAGAGCTGGGAGGGCCTCACAGACTGTCTAGTCTAGTCCCTTTTTACGGAGCAGGAAACTGAGGCGTGAAGGGGAGTGACCTGTTCAAGGCTCTGCATGGAATAAGGCATGGCTCTGAGGCTGGCCCCTTTCCCTGCCAGGTCCTCCCCCAATTCCAAAGCTTGGCACCTCAGGGCACATGGGGTGGCTAATAAGGAAGGGTACCCAGGAGCCTCTTTTCATCGGGCGGTGGTGAGATGCTGGGCCATGCCACCCACAGAGAGGCAGCCCTCTGTTCACTTTGGAATCCCAGCCCCATGGTTTACAGATGAGGAAGCGAGGCAGGCCCAGGGAGGTCGTGACTGGGATGGCAGGGTCATGAGATCCAGAGCCGACCTCCGGCCGCTCAGAGGCCGTCCAGCCAACCCCTCTCGTTTGGGAGCCCCCCTCCTCCTCCTGGCCTCTGCCCCTGCCTCCCGCCCCAGACTTCAAAGGACCAGGGAGGAGAAGGGTGGGGAGGCAGCAGCCGCCTCACGCATCTGGTTCTTTTCTGTCTTTTCCGACTGACAGAGAGGATTCAGAACGCATGCACAGTCACACACGCAGAAACCGAGCTGGGGGTTCTGGGCTGAGAACGTTCTGTCCGTCCGTGTCCCATCAGCTCTTAAAAAGGAGAAGAGGAAAATCACAAATAAGAAACATCCCCGTCCTCGAGCCTCACGGAGGAACACAAGAGCCCCATTATTCCCCTTCCACCTCCCCAGCCCCACTAGCCTCCTTCCTTTGCTGATCTGTCCCTGGGAGGCCCCCTTCGATAATTAAATACATTTGTAGGCAGGGCTGGTACTGAGCCCTCCATGAGGCCTCTGAGCTTTCAGGATGGCCAGGGAGGCACGGGTAGGGATTGGCTAGCCAGCCCTAGCTCGGCGAGGCCTGAGGTTGTCCGGGAGGGGTCTGGAAAGCTGGAGGCTTGTCTTTCCTGGACACCCACCCTCCGCTTGGGCAGCTGTTCTCCATCTTCATTCAGGGGCTGTTTTCTGCTCTTGTAAGTGGTCTCTCCTTCAGCCTCGGCCCCCCTCCCCTTCCCCCCTTACTCCTGTGGTAAGGAAGGACAATTGGAGCACATTCATTTCTGGGAACTGAACCAAGAATTCCCTCCTCCAGAAACACACACACACACACACACACACACATTCTCACTCTCACACACACATTTTCTCTCTGTGTGTTTCTGTCACACACACACACACATTCTCACACACATAAACATTCTGTCTCACACACACATATTCTCCCTCTCTCTCACACACACACACAAACACACACACACTCTCACACACATTTTCTCTGTCTCTGTCTCTCTTTCTCTCACATGCACACACATTCTTTCACACACATAAACATTCTCTCTGTCTCTGTCATACATACACACAGACACATACATGTATTCTCCCTCTCTCTCTCTCTCTCTCACACACACACACACACACACACACACACATTTTCTCTGTCTCTCTCCCTGTCATACACACACACATACATTCTCTCACACACACACACACGCACACACACACACACACACACACACACACACACACCCTCCCCCACAAACAAACAACAGAATCCCCATAAAAGCCCCACCCAATCCCTTTTCTAGGTAATGAGCATGTTGACCAGAGTGCTGGGCTCTTTGCTCAGATGACTCTCCTATTGAGCCGTTCCCTTTTGGGGTAACGGGAAAGCCCCCGCAGCAGTGGGGCATCAGCCCCATGGCACATCTCAGGCATGGCAGCATCTGAACTCGAACCTGGCTTTTCAGGTCTGCTTGCCAGTGGTCCTGCAGCGCCTCCTGTTGGGCATTTTCCTGAAAAGACCAAAGACCAGAATCTTTTCTGTAAATGGAGCCAGGCTCACTCTCTGTTGCTTTTCAGTCCTTGAAACCTTTCTCGGACTCTCTGATTTCCTTGGAGATGATCTCGCCGCCCCCCCACTCCCATCAGCATACCTGAGGCCTGGAATCTCCCTCTTCACCTCTGCCCCTTAGAACCCTCAGCGGGCCCCGCTGTCCCACCTCTCCTGAGGCCCCCTGCCCTGGACGTTAAATTGGAAATGTTTTCTGGAGCCCTCTGTGTTTACTGACCTTTGTACCGCCTCAGTAAGCTTCTTGTGGGCAGCACTGCCTTCCTCTTATGTCTGAGAGAGCGGGCTGAGAAAGCGAGCGAACCTGGGTTCAAGTCCTACTTTTTGGCCCGGCCTGGCTGTGGGGCCCTGGGCCAGTCACTTACAGGCTCCCTGTTCCAGGAGCCTCTCTGAGGTACAGAGCAGAGGCTGACCTGTAGCAGTGAAGGGAATGTTCTCATCTGGGTGCGTCTTACACCGGTGAAACTGCACGTCCACTCGGTGGCCTTGTCTCTGTCGCCGTCCCTGCCCTCAGAGTGTTTCCATTCTTTTAGAATTCTTTTACGTACTTTTAATATGGCCTGGATGAATTGGATGGACATGAAGCGGAGAGGAGGCTCAGAGACTGTGGACAGAGGTGGGAAGGACATAAGGTTCGTGGATGATAATGAGAGATCAGATGGAAAGGTTTGCAGACCACTGCCCACATTAGCCCGTCACCATGTCCCTGTGAAGTAGGTGTCATTGTTACCCCCATTTTACAGATGGGGGAGTTGAGGTGGACGGGGGGAAGTGACTGGGGGTTCCAGTTTTCTGGCTCTCGGTCCAGCACTATCCACTTTGACCACCCGGCCTGCATCATGGAGCAGAAAAACCTGCGGCAGAGCTGGAGGTGGGTGTGGGGTTTGGCCAGCAAGAGAGCTGCTTTTGAACCAAAACGGGGACCCCCTGACTTCCCAGGCTCGTGCACCCCCTCTTGTCTCCAGTCAACCTTTGGTCCTTGTTTCTCTTCTCTGCAGATTCCCCCTGCCCCTCCCCAAAAAAGTCTTCTCGTCGGAGTCAGATTTGCTCATGTCAGGCAGATAATTTCCTGGAGTAGCAGCCGTTCCTATGGTGCGGATTATTAATTGCAAATTATTATACTGTGGAGAGATAGGAAAGGGATACGTTAATTCAGGGCAGCATTAAAGTTTTAATTAGATTCACATTTGGGGGCTCTAATGAGTCCCCTTGAACAAGCAAGCCTTAATTTCCTGTTTGGCCACCAAATTCTCTGGCGTAATTAATTAGGATGGTAACCAGCCCCACTGTCCTTCGTAACGTTTTCCCATTTCCTGAGGGCCTTGCGGGATATGATGCCAGGGGACCCATGAGGCCCTGGCCTTATGTGGGCAGGGGCTCTGGGAGTTGCTTCCCTTCGCTGGCTTCATGGTGGGGGATTGGGGAAGAGAGAGTGGGCAGGTGGAAGCCTGGTGCCAAGGGTCACTAGCTTTTCATGGAAGGCCAAAAAGCCCGTGGGACCGAGGGAGGGTTTGTCCAGCCGGAGAGAGCTACCTTAGACACCAGAAGGAGGCCCCCCCACCCCAGCCTCCCAGGATGAGCAAGCCGGTCACGAAGGACACTCGTAGGATGAGGGTCTCATGGAGCCCAGAGTCAGGGGGCTGGCTCATTTGACTGCTGTTGGAGAGGGCAGGCTTTGAGTGATTTCTGCCCCCTTGGCACCGCGCCCTTCTCTATCCCCCACTGTCACGTGGGCTGTTGTCCCAAGCTGCTGCAGGGCCAGAGAGGAGCACGGTGTGATTCCTACCCTTGGAGAGCTGCTAGTTTCTTGGGGGCTGTGGATGGAGGGAAGAGATTGTGGCCGGCCCTCCAGAGAGGCTTGGCTGGCTGGTTCTGCCCAACACTCTCCACCTTCTCTCCTGTAAAAGCGAAAGCTTACGATGCAAAACTAAATACAGAATTGTTCTGGTGAGAGAAAAACCCCAGTAATAGCCAGCACTATCTATCTAGTGCGTTAAAGTTTTCAAAGCACTGGTAAACGTCATCTTGATCCTAGGAGGTAGGGGCTATTTTTATCATCACCATTAGGCGGATGAGGAAACTGAGGCTGAGAGACATTAAGTGACTTGCTCAGGATCACACAGTTAGTATGTGCCTGAGGCTGGATTTGAACTCAGGTCTTCCTGACTTTGGGGCTCTCACTCATTGGGCCCCCTCACTTGCCTGTCACAACTGGGGGGAATCTGGAAAGGCTGCATGTATGAGGTAACACCTGAGTGGTGCTTTGAAGGAAGCTAGAGATTCTGCACGGTGGAAGAGGTGAGGAGGGAGAATAGTCCAAGTGTGGTTGGGGTGAGGGGCACAGCCCAGGGAAAGGCAAGGAGGTGGGAGATAGTTCTTGGTCTTAAATGACTATGCACTGGTTGAGCACCTTTGGCAACTAAACCCTAGCCCTTTTATATCCAGTTCTTTACACAGTGCTTCATCTATAGCAAGCAGTTAATAGAGATCTCTTGGTTATGCCTCTGTGCCCCCAACCCCTAGCAGCCCTGTGACTGTGTCTCAGTTTCCTCTTCCATAAACTGGGCATGATAACATTTGTTCAGCCATGGCCAAGGGTTGCTACAGAATTCAAGAGAAAGGATGCATACAAATCTCTTATTTTGTTTTTTTTCAATTACATGTAAACATTTTTTAGCATTTATTTTAAAAATTTTTGAGTTCTAAATTCTCTCCCTCTCTCACCTCCCCCCTCTTTGAGAAGGCAAGCACTTTAATTTAGATTATACATGAAGTCATGCAAAACATATTTCCATATTAGCCACGTTGCAAAAGAAAACACCAAAAAATAAAAACCACCAAGAAAAATAAAGTTAAAAAAGGCCGCTGGGAGCTGCATTCAGACTCCGTCCGTTCTTTCTGTGGGAGTGGAGAGCACTTCTCATCCTGAGTCCTTCAGGATTGTCTTAGATCATACAAAGCACTTTGGAGGTCTTAGAATGTGTTATAAACAGAAGCTTTTATTACTAACGATAATTAAAAAAAGAACTCTCTGTGGTGTAAAGGCTCAGGGGTGCTCCCCTCCCCCCTTAGAGATTCCTCCTCTGTTCCCAAGGTCCCTGTGTCCACAGCCAGCAGCTGAGATGGACGTCAACCCCAGTCAGTCCTGTGGTCAGTCCCTGGACTTATCTCCCATCTGAGTCCCCCAATGACTCATAGGAAATGGTTAGCGGCTTCACTTCCTCATCCCTAGCGGAGGGGGTGGCGGGAGGAGGAAGAGGGGCATCTCTCTCTCTCCCTCTCTCTCTCTCTCTCTCTCTCTCACTCTCACTCTCTCCTGCTGTGGAACCAGACGCTCAGTGTCTCTTTCCCCTCTTTCTTCTCTGTAGCAACAGCTGGAAGAGGAAGCCGCCAAGCCCCCCGAACCCGAGAAGCCGGTGTCCCCTCCGCCGATCGAGTCCAAACACCGCAGCCTGGTCCAGATCATCTATGATGAGAACCGAGTAAGCGAGCTGCGGGAACCTGGGGTGGGTGGGGTGAGTCAGAGACAGCCAGGAAGGAGTTTCGGGGTGGCCAGGCTGTGGGTGGGGTCCAGAGACCTCATCTAAAGGTTGTTGTCTGATTTGTCGGTGAGGACATGGGCTGGCGCGGAGGTGCTCCCCATTCCAGGCTCCTCACTCAGTCCTGAGCCCAAGAGGCCCGCTTTGGGAATCAGTGGGGACACCGTGGAAGTTGTGGGGTGCGTCTGTCCTGCTGTTCCCCTCCACGTGAGCCTTCCCAGGCTGGCCCCCAGACTTGGCATGTTCTCTCTCCCTTTCCCTTCTGGGTTTCCCGGACTTCCTCCAAGACCCAGCTCGGATCCCCATTTCTGCAGGGAGAGTAAATGAAATTAGGTTTGGGAAAGTTCTTTGAAATAGAAGCTAGTGTTAAAATGTCTTAGCTGATCAGGATACTTGCTTCTGGTAAGAAATATAAGACAAATATGAAATTTGTCCTTGTCATTTTAGATCAGAAATTTCGCCATTGGGGTCTTTTCCTTCGACCTCATCTTCCACCTGCTTTCTCTCTGTCCTGTCTGTACAGAGTCGTTTTCACATTCTCGCCCTCATTGGACTGTGAGCTCCCTGAGGGCAGGGACTGTGTTTTGCCTCTTTTTGCATCCCCAGCACTTAGCACAGTGCCAGACACATAGTAGGTGCTTAATAAATGCTCATTGACTGACTGACTGCTGGGTGCTGAGGATACACAGCTCCAGGCTGAAGCAATTCCTGCTCACAAAGAATTTCCATTCTAATGGGACACGTGTGTGTAAGTATACCCAGAATAGAGAAAATGCAAATTAACAGCCTCGAGGTCCCTTCCGCTTTAAGAACTTGTGAATTTTCCATAGGCAGTGTCATTCTGTCTGGCCCTGACCCTTTTGTTTGGCTTTGGCTCCTGCCTTTCTGTTGGTTTGTTTTTAAAGGGCGTGAGTGCCATGGGGTACCCATCGCCTCTGGGTGGTGGCACAGTCCTGGTCTCTGGGAAGGAATTTGTTCCTCTCTGTAGCTGAGATGGAATGATAGAGCAGAGGTCACCGGCCTCCAGTAGACTAAGGAACTGGGAAGTCAGAGGCTGGAGCAGAGTTGGGATAGAGGGGAAAGTATGAGCCAGATAGTGGCTGCCCTCCTCCAGAGAGGAGGGCCAGGAGGTGACCCCCAGCCCCCGATATGGATCTGGTGACACATTGGGAATGCTCAGTCCAGAGGAGGGGAGCAGGGTTAGTGATGGCGGCAGAAGGGGACTGTTTGGCCCTGGCGCTGTGCCCCCAGCCCCCAGCTTGGCACCCAGCAGGGCCTAAAGAAACAACTGTTGGCTGATTGTTGATTCCTGTGCACCTCTCAGGACAGCCTAGGGTTCTTCCCATGGCCAGAGAGCAGTGATGGTGGCTGGAGCGCTCTGGGAGATACCCCTTCTGGAGGCAGGCCCATCCCCTCTGGCCCTGCCGAGAGACTCGGCCAGGATGCTTCCGCCGGCTGACGTGGGGAGCTCTGTCCCCTCTCTCTCGAGCGGTGTTCTCAGCTTGGCAAAGAGGCGCCTAGAGCACAGGCCGCCGTACTCGGAAATGAACTCTGAGCTCTGTTATTTCTGTTTGGAAGTCATGGGAATCCCCACACCCTGTGGTTTTTGGCTGCTGCCAGAAGGAGCTGGCCTTGGGTCATCTTTCTCCCAGAGCCCTTGTCCTTGGGCAAATCTGACCCCTCACACAGATAATGGGCAGCTGGTGGCATTCAGATAGTACTTTAAGGTTCAAAAAGCAATTTCCATGTGATTTCATTTGATCCTAATAATAACTGTGTAAGATTGGGGCTGTTTTAGGCAAAAGAGGTTAAGTGACTTTGCCTAGGGCCACACAGCTAGTCTGAGGCAGGATTTGAACTCAGGTCTTCTTGAATCCCAGTTCAGTACTTTATGTACTTTGTGTCATCATTCCCTCAGGGCCTAGCACTGTGCTTGACACACAGTAGGTGCCATATAAATGCTTATTCCTTTCCCTACTGCTCCCTCAACCAATCAGCAAGCATTTATATGGCACCTACTGTGTGTCAAGCACAGTGCTAAGCACTTTTTCGTGATTGGATCCTCACAACAACCCTGGGAGCTGTTATAATCCCATTTTACAGTTGAGGAGGGGAGACAGGCAGAAGCATGTGCCTTGTTCAGGGTCAGACAGTTAGGAGGTGTCTGAGGCAGGATTTGAACTCGGTTCTCCCTGACACCAGGCCCCGCACTCCCTGCTCTCCCAGTGTCTGGAGCAGTAGCGTCCTTGTTCTGGGTGTTTGTTGGGGCTCTGAAGGGAAGGCAGTGTAGATGGAAGAGTGACGGTCTCAGAGGGAGGGAGGTGGCTACAGCACCCTGAGAGGAGTGCCCCATCCCTGGGGGGGATAAGGAGGGGAGTGGGCTAGGAGTGCTTGCCCTCCTAGTCTCTGGAATTGCAGCACCATCTAGTGGGTGCCTGGGAAAAGGAGGGGCGCTCCTCTTGGGGTCTCTCCCAGACCGCTTGTCATTCGGTGAGATGGAGAGGGCTGGCATCGGGAATATGCCTGTGGGCAGGGCAGGGGGTGGCATGACCCTGGGGCTGCCTGGGGACATCCTGCTCCTCCACTGGGATCACTCCAGCTTTGTCACCATGCACTGGGCAGGGTGGGGGGTTCCCCACTGCCCTTCTCTGATGAGCGTTGGGGGTTCCAGGCCCCCCCTGAGCCTGGTCCCTGGCTGGCAGGGAAGCCCCACCCTCTTAGGCCACTGAGGCTGGAGCTGCCACGGGCCCCCAGGCCACTCACGCCACATAAGCAGCTTCAGGGTCGCAGGCACTGGGGGAATGGCTGGAAAGATTCCAGAGGACCGCCCTCCCTCTCATCTCAGATCCGCTTTCTGAAAATAGCCCCGAGTTTCCTCATCTCTGCCCTGAGCTCTTTCTTCTTCTTCCTCTTTTTTTTCTTTTTTAAAGAATTAACTAAAAAAAGAAGTGGGGGCCAGGGAGTGGGCTGGGAGGGCAAGAATAGCATCTGATAGGGGCCTCCCAGCAGGGAGAGCTGGCCTTCCCTCCTCTGGGCTGGAGTGGCTAAGGACAAAGATAGGAGCCTCCCACCCCCACCCTGGGTGCCTTCTCAGCTCTTCTGCCAATTGGTTGTGGAATTTCCAAGACCTCCGAGGTCATGGGATCATAGAACCGCAGAATTTCAGAGTAGGAAGGTGTTCTGGGGCAGAGAGCATGGACTTTGGATTCTGCAGGCCCCGGGCTGGGATCCCGTCTTGGGTGCCTTGGGCACGTCTCATGGCCTCCCCAAGCCCCACTTTCCCCATCTGTCAAATAAGGGGCCTGGACGAGGGGGTCCCTTCCAGATCTATACTTAGCATTCCATGATCCCTTTAAATTGGGGGTTTTCACCTAATTTTTTGAGACACAGACCCCTTGAGCAGTCTGGGGAAGCCTCTGCACCCCTTCTTAAAATCATATCCTTAAATGCAGCACATAAAATCCATGTGATTACAGATAATAATAAGCCAGTGATAGTCAAATAAAGATAGGATTTTCTTTCTCATCCAAGTGCATGAATGGCCTGAAATCTGCCCACAAGCATCTTGGGGGTCGGTGGAGCCCAGATGAAGAACCCCTGCTCTGCTTGCCCAGGGCAGCCTCTTCTGGTTCTGGACAGCACTGATTCTTTTTCTTTTTTTTAAATAATATTTTATTTTTTCCCAATTATATGTGAGAACAAATTTTAACATTCATTTTAAAAGATACTGAGTTCCAAATTCTCTCCCTCCCCTCCCCCTTCCCTGAGACAGTAAGCAATTTGGTACAGGTTATACGTGTGCAGTCGTGCAAAACGTATTTCCATATTAGTCATGTTATGAAAGAAGATACAAACTAAAAAAAAAACAAAACCACGAGAAAAATAAAGAAAGTGAAAATAGCAGGCTTGGATCTGCATTCAGACTCCATAGTTCTTTCTCTGGATGTGGTTAGCCTTTTTCATCATGAGTCCTTCAGAATTGTCTTGGACCGTTGTATTGCTGAGAATAGTGAAGTCATTTACAGCTGATCTTTGTACGGTATTGGACAGCACGCATTCTTGGGAAGCTTTTCCTGACACGTAGCCAAAATCTGCCGACCTCTGCCCCCTGCCCCAGGTGGTCCTGACTCTGCTCTCTGGGGCCAGGCAAACCAAGCCTGTGAATGCTCCCATACCCCAGCTTTTCAGACCTCTGGGAGCTGTGGAGACATAGCTGCAGAGCTGGGAGGAGCCCTGGGAGGTTCAAGATGAGGAAAGTGATGCCTCCATGGGCAATAAGGAACAAGGTCAGGATTCGCACTCGTCTCCTGTGGTGCCAGTGCCTGTGGAATCTCTCAAACTGAAGGGAGTTCTCATGTCATGGTCGTAGCACCCAGAATGCCTTCAGTGCATCCTCTTGTGGCCTGGTCTCAAGGTCTTCCCCTGCCCTGGTCGCCTTCGCCCTTCACTTGATCAGTGCGCTTCCTAAAATGTGGAACCCAGTAAGGAACATGATGGTTCAGGCCTGTTCAGACCAAGGCAGGGTGCAGTGGTGCTGTCAGCAAGAAAAGGCACACTGTGCCTTTAATAAGCACCTACTGTGTGCCAGGCCCTGTGCTAGGGATCCAGAGAGGGGCAGACTCACAGTCTGATGGGAGGGACAATGTGCAAATGAGCTGTAGGCAGGGTGAGTGTGAGGCGATCATTACAGAGGGAAGGCATTCGTATGGGGGATTGGCAGAGCAGGAAGGCGCCAGGGAAGCTGGGAAGCCGGGAGGCGCAGATGAGGAGAGAGAATTCTGGGTAGGGGAGATGGAGGGTCTTGTGTGGGGAAGAGCAAGGAGGGCAATGTCTCTGGATTGTTGAATACGTGAAGGGAAAAGAAGATGTAAGAAGACTGGAGAAGTAGGAAGAGTCAAACAGAGGTTTTTGTGTTTGCTGCTGGAGGCGATAGGAGCCTTGGA